CATTTTATAGCGAAGAAGGTATGTCGGAGGTCATGATCTCTGAGTCTTTGGAATGAAGTGATGTTTACGGTCAAGATGAAGCGTGTTAGAGAACTAGAGTCGTCCATATGACAAGCGCGTTATTCATGGCACATTTCAGATGATCGGAATCTGGTGAGAGAGCTCCTAGTTTCTTCAAAAGCTTTCCACATACGACACCAAAAAATGTGTTGGGACTAGGGTCGGCCCTGGCTCAGGACCCAAACTGAAGGAGGGGCACCAAGTCAACAACAGCCCATATATGTTATATAGTTACTATATGTATTTATTTAATATAATATTAAATAAACAAAGCCCAATTTGGCGGATAGGACACAAGCAGCAAGCCCATATATTATATCAGAAATGCTATGGAGCCATCGGATGGTTCCCTTATGGAGCCATCCATAACGTTAGGTATTGACACGTGTCCAATGTGCATTTATTACAGAACACGTGTCAATACACCATTTGTGGATAACTATGGATGACTCCATAAGCCGAGCCATCCGATGGCTCCATAGCAAAACCGTATATTATATATAACTAAACATGTACCTTTATTTATTATTTAAAATGTTAAAAATGAAAAAAAAATATAAAATATTTTTCATCACGGCAAACGAACTCAATTACTCAACATTTCTTTGTTTTTTCCAGACTCTCGAGTCTCGATCCTCTCTTTGTCTGTTCATCTTCCCCAATCTCCATCTTTCTTTTATTTCCCAAATTTTAACGGTAAAGTTAATTTACTTTTCCCAAATTTATTTTTTTCCCTTTCAACCTTTATTTTTCTTATTCACCATTGGTNCACTTGCTTAAAAAATTGTTAATTATTTCCAACAATTTTAGGGATACTTTGAATCTTTTATTTAAAAAGGTTTATTCTGCGAGCTACTAGATCTAATGTAGCCAATACTAGGAGTTTGACATATTATACCAGTTTATTTCATTATCGGCCTAGTTTCGGCCATTTCATACGAACAATCTACCCAGCCGATGGGAAAGGTGATTATTTGATGCATCCAAAATTGGTCAGGAGACATTATTTTTCTATTGAAGGACTAGTGACATTATCTTTTGGAATGTGAAAGCGGCTCGAGACATTATCTTTCTGTATGCTTTATGAGATTTCTATTAGACCCTTTGTCTTTAACTTTTGTGGTGAAGTTGTAATAAAATATTATAAAAAAATTATTTTTTAGAAAAAATATTGGGTCGTTGTTGGTATTATTTGAAATGCATCATTTTATTTTTTAGAGAAAATGAAGTACTTGGGCACTATTTTTTGTATTTAGCCCAGGGCCTACTAATGTTCAGGACCGGCTCTGGTTGGGACCTAGATCTGAGGTGAATCGGCTACTGCAAAGCTCCAATTATTTGAAAACAACTCATTATTTGCAAAACAAATGGCCGGGAGGGACTCCCAGCGTGAGCACTCCGATGCTCAAGTTAGTAAAAGCACTCAGAAGATGATAATGTGCTATGTATATAGAATATGTAGAGGGAATGTAGAGTATTTCAAGTGTACCCCCAACCCTTTTTTAGGGGATATCTGCTTGCTTAGTGTTCATTTGCATCCTAATCACGTCTTATTTATCATTAGATTACTTCTTATCTTCTGTAAATCTATTTATTGTGATCATCCGGTCGTCGTGACTCTCTCCACAAGTCATTAAGTCGAGCTGGCCCATTGGATCGTCTCACTTTAGGTCGTCCAAAGGGCATGTAGGTCCTGTAAGTGCTTTAAGACATTCCAAGGCCTCCAAGTCGTCTGTGTATTCCTAGTCATCCGGTCTCTCCTAGACGGCCTTCGGATCGCCCTTGAAAGCGTTAGGCCATCTAACCGCCCGACTGACCCATTCATGTTTGGTGTTATTCTAGTTGGCCCAGTTAGACCTTCTCCAACCGAACGCCAAAACTCAATTTTTGTAGTGGAATCTCCTCCAACCGAACGGCAAACGCAGCGGCAATTTGCGTTTTTGCCTTCTCTCTCCTCCTCCAAGACGCAAATTTGCGTCTGAACGCAAATTAAGCGTTCCATCTTTTTTTTTTGCATTTTAGTCCTTTTTATGCTAATCTTATTTTCTTCTTTTTGTTTTTGCATTTCAATCCTATGATGATTAAATTAATGAATATTAATTATATATTTATCAAAATAGTAAACTTAATGTAAAATACTAAAAATTCTTTATCTCATAAACATTAAATAGTATAATTTTTAAAATAATAAATATTATATTTATCATTTAATTCTATATATTTCACAATAATAATATAAAATATACATATCATTTATGGTATTTTTATTTAACAAGAAAAGAAAACACTAACATTAAATAACAACAACATTACTAATACAGATTAAAATAACATTAAAACGTGATACATTACGATTTAAAGAAAATCATTTAAATAACAAGTGCTGAAATGAAATACAACATCACACAGTACTAAAATAAAAATACATCATAAAGCCACAAACTAAAAACAAGTACGAGAATTTAGTAATCTGGTAAGTTGGCACCGCCTCCTCCAAGATCATTGAAAAATTGGCAAAATGTATTGGTTGAAAATGGATCCGATTGGGCTTGTTGAGCTCTTTTCTCCAAGATTCGTGCTTTTTCAGCTTCAACGTATGCTCGAACTCTAGATCTGCTATGGAACTGACATCTTGAAGCAGAATTCTATTTTCTTCCCTCATTTCTTTTAAAGCGTGAGATCTGTCGCGTATTTTCAATTGATGTTTTATTTGATCGTTTGTATTTTTCATCTCCTCAACAAGTCTTTTGTTTTCTTTCTTGCTAGATTATTTCTTTCTTGCTGCTAGATTAGTTGTCTTTTGTTGCTAGGTTAGTTATCTGTAGCTGCTAGGTTAGTTGTGTTTTGTTGCTAGGTTAGTTGTCTGATGCTGCTAGGTTAGTTGTATTTTGTTGTTAGGTTAGTTGTCTGATGTCTTTTGTTGCTAGGTTAGTTATCTGTAGCTGCTAGGTTAGTTGTGTTTTGTTGCTAGGTTAGTTGTCTGATGCTGCTAGGATAGTTGTATTTTGTTGCTAGGTTAGTTGTCTGATGCTGCTAGTTGTCTTTTGTTGCTAGGTTAGTTGTATTTTATTGCTAGGATATTTATTTCTTTGTTGCTGCTAGGTTAGTTGTCTGATGCTGCTAGGTTAGTTGTATTTTATTGCTAGGATATTTCTTTCTTGCTGCTAGGTTAGTTGTATTTTGTTGCTAGGTTTTGTTTAATTACTAGGATATTTCTTTCTTGCTGCTAGGTTAGTTGTCTTTTGTTGCTAGGTTTTCTTTTTTAAAAAAAAAAGTTGTAACCCATAGGATTTGCTGCTAGGTTAGTTGTATTTTGTTGCTAGGTTTTTTTAATTGCTAGGATATTTCTTTCTTGCTGCTAGGTTAGTTGTCTTTTGTTGCTAGTTTTTATTTTTAAAAAAAAAAATTGTAACCCATAGGATTTGAACCTGGTGGTACCTTATGCAAGCAAGACAAGCAATGCAACCACTACACCACTCAAGGTTGAGTGTCTTTTGTTGCTAGGTTATTTATTTCTTGCTGCTAAGTTATTTGTCAATGGGTCAACGCCGGAAGTCAACGGTCAACGCCGAAAGTCAACGATTTTCACCGGAAGTCAACGGTCAACGCTGGAGTCAACTAATAATTATTTTATTATTTAATTAATGTATATTTTAATTGATTTTGATCTAGACAAAATGAGTGGCTAAGATTGAGTCTCACGTACTCATTTTAAGGAGTGGTCTCATTGGATCCATCCCCTATATATTAAAATTTTATGTATATGAATAGTCATTGAATTTTAATAGTAAATATAAATATTAATATTTAATAAAAAAATGGAAAAATTATGATTATTAAATAAAGAAAGTAAATTGAATAAAAAAAATAAAAAAAATCATGTATAGGATAATTTCTATTTCAATAGAAAATAATTTGATTTAGCAGAAAAACTATAGACTTGTTGAAGACAAGTTTCCTAAATTACTTTATTTTAACAATAAATAAAATGACACTCAAAAGGTTTTTTTAAGACAAAATGTCAAGCACCGTTAATTGTAATTCCAAACCAAATAGGAAAAGAGATGAGACTAGCCATGGCTTAAACCGGTTCCAAGCTCAGTTCGGGTCAAGGGTTGTAGGCCCTGAACCAGCCCGAACATATGCACTGGGCAGTTCGGTAAATGGGCAGTTACGAGCCAACCAAGTTCATTTAAAAAAGATAAAACATAATTAAAAAAACTAAAAAAAAAAGGACCCAATTGCCCGTTCCAATTACGGGTTCTGATTCTAAACTGGCCTGATGGCTCAAAAAGTATATATATGTGGTCCGAAAACGGCCCAGTCAAACTGTGGGCCCAATTCAAGGCCCGTTGATCACGGGCCGGTTTTGGGCTGGTTAGGGCAGAACCGTGTCTAAATGAGACTCCAATGCCCCACACACACCGTACATTGCCTATATGCACAAATATGGAGCCTCAAAGCACATATATCAAGAACAGTCAAAACTTGCTCTGTTAATTTTTCCTATTCTTCAAATATCTCTACATCAGAACAGCCGTTTTCCCTTTTCCTCTGCATGCATGGAGTCCCCGACTTCTAAAACCCCAAATCAGGGCCAAAACCTTAGCGGCGATTCTTATCCTCACGAAGATACAATGGTTCAATCTTTTCAAAATCTTGGGTTCAGAGACGAAAATGGAGACGGTGATATGAAATCACACAAAATCAATAATCCAATTCGAAAGCTTTCTATTGAGGAACGATGGCTATTGTCAAGTACAATGTGTGATGAAGATTACATTTGGCGTTCTCTGACTTCTCTCTTGCTTGCCGGCGGAGGTAGTAAAAGATTTTGTTCAAGATATTTTTTTTTTCGTCATATGCGTCTTACTGAAGGGAATAAAGCGAGTAGAACTGAAAAGTCACAGACTTGAACTCGTAATTCGATCTATCTCAAGAAGTTGTGTGCATATGTTTCTAGTATTGATTTTCTTGATTTTTTGTTTTCCTGATTTGTACTTGTGTATTTTGGCATGTCTGTATTGAGCCTTCACAAGAAAGGGGGAAAAGTGGGTGTAGTCGAACAGTTGCAGAACTTACAGACGTAGTTTGGGCTTTCGTATGTTTCTTGCTGAGAAAGTTTCAACTTTTTTTGTTGTCCATGGATAAATGCTTTATCTGTCAAGAAATCTGTACATTGATTTTGATGGTTCCTCTTTTTCTGTTTCGTTCGTGGGTTTTTGGGATTATCTGGTTCACAAAATCAAACAAAATTAAAACGATGAAAGTGGGCATAATCAGGAAGGTGCAAGCTTAATTAATATACAAAATTTGTTTTGTTCACGTTTGTTTCAAAGGTTCTATTGATTTTTCCTCACATTTTTTCTGTACCTTTTTTAATAGAAGGTGACTGCTGCTCTTCAGAGCCGTCTGTTTCGAATCCACAAAATGTACCCTATTCCGGCAACCCGTTCTCTTACATAACAGTAGCTAACAGCTCTACTCATTTCCTTCTAAATGAAGACTTTGCTAAGGGAGGCCCAGCACTGAACTGGGAGCGCATTCACGATGTCCTGAAAGGACCATACTCTCTGCAGAAAGACAGACTAATCGGTGCACTTATTTTCGGCTTTATTGTCAAGTTAATGACTGATACAAAAATGCATCCGGTTTTCCAAGCCTTTCTCGATGCCTGCAAAATGAAGCACTTCGACAAACTCCTTCGTATGAACTGGTTAGAGAGAGAGCCGTTTCTAGAGGTGGTCTTCTGTAAACAAGGGTATGATATTTACTTCTTTACCCTTGATATACTTGCATTGGTTTCTAGTTCTTGCTCGTAAAACACTACTATTGATTGCTGATGAGTTACCTTTTTACTTAACAGGGTAGTTTCAATGATTAAACTCATAAGGAAGCTGAAGAAGACGTATCACGCTTATTCCATAACAGGGATTTTGTCGACAAGATTCGTGGAAATAATGACTGATTATAACGCGAGAGAAGTGATTCAGACGTGCTTCATCCTTTTCAGCCATGAGCCAAACAAGGTACCTGATTATACGAGTTTCCATATTTTTGCGCTTGATCATATGTAGTAACCGGACTATATAATAATTTTATCTTGATTAATGGCAAGTTAAGCAGAGAGTTGTGTTAATATACTTTATGAGGAAAAATTATATAAAAGAACATTGAGAATTAAGTTGTTCCTTTTGTTCTCATTGAAGAGGATGCCACTGTAGATTTTATTTTATTTTCGAATTATAAAATTTCAGATACTCTACGAGAGCGCAATAGAAAACTGCCATTACCTTGCTATGCACAAAGTGGGCTGTATATCGTTGAACGAATGCATAAGCACGATTTCCGGTGAACAAAGGTCGAGGCTTCTTGTTAGTATTGCAGATATGGCAGACATTCTCTGTGATGATCCATACGGGTACACACGCAAATAAAACTTCAAGTTTCCTCCTTAAAATTATGAAATTTTTTCACTGTAAAATGTCTGAATCATGGGGTGCCTTGT